CTTTTCTACAGGTTGACCGAAGCAAAACACCCAACCGTAACGTGAGCCTGAGGAGCTGCCGCACCAGAGAGCCCCGCCGCTGGTGAGTTTCAATTTTTTGTATTTTTTCGGCCAACTAAGACCTTTTAACATGTTTGTTCGTAAGGATCGATGTAAAATTGGTTGAATTCGGCCGAAAATGGTCGACCCGAGGAGGACCGCCACCGCGAACTGCGACACCGTCACCAGAGCACAGTGGAGTAGCCGTGCCATATTTTTTAAATTGGCCGAGTGGACCCTGGGACTGGATTTGAGTTTATTTGAAACATTTGTAAGTACTATTAACTTGTTTTAGTTCCCGGAGAAAAATTCATGGAACCTAGGGACCGCTCGTAGCCGCAGTAAACAGTTTAGCTTTTCGAGTGTCAAATCGAGTAAGGATCCCTCATCTTATTCCCTATCATAGAACTGAAGTCTAAATAAATAATAATACGATATTTTGTGTGAATTTAGAAAATGTGCATAATTGGTTACAGATTGCTAATGGAGCTAGAACCGAAAATTTTCTACTGTTGTTTTGTTGATTATTTTACAGTTTAAATACATGATAGTACCTTATTAATTGATTTTATGATTTTGAATGCATGTATGGTTTATTCTATATGTTTAGTACTGAATCAGAAAAAAAGAAGGTTAAACGGTAAAAATTGTGTGATGAAATGAATAGATGAAACGACAGCCTTACTGGATATCTTGGGAGATGGTGGACAGACCAGGTACATAGGGAACCCTACCGTGGACGTTATCTCATATCGGACGGGGTATGGAAACTTAATAATTTGACGCTCATACAGGACGGGATATGGGGACGACCCGCTTCACCCTCATACTGGACGGGGTATGAGGATGACCCATAATTGAGAATGATAAATAAAAGTGTTCACGCATAGCGGAGGCATTCTTATGAACCCCCATGGATACCAGCAGGCTGGTGAAAAGGGTGGTAGTTATTGTTTGGTCTATTGATAATGGATATAGATTTGTAACATGTACTATGATGACTGATTATGCATGAGATATTGGTCTGTATGATATTATTGTTCTTAGAGATTATTTTTATAAATTTCACGATGGTAAGTGAACGAGAAATAATTTTATGATTGATAAATGAATTTGCTAAATTTAATGTTCCATTAGTGATTTTTGATTTTATACCAATTTTTACTTCTGTGTCGGTGATATAGTGTGATATCCTTACTGGATTAGTGTAGCTCATTTTTTATTTAACCATTTCAGATCAAGAAGACCAGGTTTCAGAGTCCGATTCGTAAGAAAATTGCGAGTAGATGCTAGATATTTTATATTTTTTATTTGTTTCTTTATTTCTCGTGTTTATTTCAAAGCATGAGTTCCGTAATGCTGTTTAGTACTTTTAAGTTATTGCGTAAGAAATGTAAACCTTAACGTTTTATTTCGCTTCCGCACTTAAGTTATTACATATTTCTTTTTGGATTTTCGGGGTCGTTACAAATCTTATATATAAATAAGTCAAGAGTTACTGTTTTTGTATCGAGTCACATCAACGTGTTTTCATTAATTTATTTGTAAAGTTATTTAATAATCTTATTTTTATATGTAAGAACATGTTTTAAGTTTATAATCGTTAATATATAATGCATATAATAAAATTTAATTATAAGATGTTAATAAATTCTTGCAAATAATAAATTTTTTTTTTTTAGTTTGAGTGACTTTTACTTATATACGGAGGCTAATGTGTACTTGATTTTACTATTTGAATATTTAATATTCTCATTTTCTTATATGAGAGAACATGTTCTCAAATTTATTATCAGTAGTATATAAATTGCATATGATAATATTCAATCATAATGATTAAAATAAGTTGTTGAATTAATAATTTTAATTTATATGATAATACACAAACACACAAAGCACAAGTACACTCTCAAGTGTTTGAAACTGTCCAGTACCATCAAAGGATAATTTGCTTTTGAAGTTTCCAATTTACATCAAAAGTAGAATAAAGTGGTCTTGCCCATATAAGGAAAATGCTCAACTTGAAAGTATTTATTTGCATGTGTATGTATTAGGACAATTACGTAAATCTTTAATTATACAAACACCGATAAAAACTTTAATTATATACAACAACGTCCTTGCATGACACGTTTATCAACGGACGTATATGTATGTGTAGGAGATCTGCATGGGGTTAAACGAGGAAAACCACGGTTTGTAAGTAGTCTTGGTTTCATCTTACAAGAAGAAATCATGATCTTATAATTACCTTCTAAAGGCATTTGAGCCAAAGCAGACCCCACTCAAAATAATTTAACTTTTGCTCTACTTTTCATGATAGAAGAAAAAGCAAAACAAAGAAAAGAAAAGAAAGTAAAAGTGATGAATTGTAGAAACCAAGTAGATTTGATTTGGCTGATACCCAAACAATAATCCCCGATTTTAGTGAAAGAACCCAAATCGTTTCAAGAGAAAAGTAAAGAAAAAAAAGAAAGAAAGAAGTGAAAGGAAAGCTTTTCTTGGAGTTTTATGAACTTTTGCTTGAAAAAAGAATCTGATACCTAACTCCAAACCTAATTGGATGTACTTTTTTTAAAAAGAAAATTTTTTTCTTTAATGATTAATCTGATTAATGTGAGAAGATTTGACCCATATTGCAAGTTGAAAGTCAAGTAATA